GTTATTCAATTTAGATTTGAGTAGTCTACATCTTCTATTCCTTAATAAACAATTGATTGATAATTTTGAATTAAAAAATCTTTGAAAAAAAAAAAGAATTCAAAAAGTAAAAAGTATCGAAATTCATAAAATTAAAATCAAAATGAAACTAATTATATCAATATAAATATCCCCCTAGTGGTCCTGTGGAATATTTGTTGTTTTCACCAATCGAGAATATGTATAATTTTTATTGATGTCCTGTACGGAATTTTAAAAACAAAATCATATTATTTATAATTTATAAACCATCCAATTTTTTGTGATTTTTATGTTTTATATTAATGATGGTTGGTTGGTGTGCAGAGCATTAAAGAAAGCAAGTAGTCTATGTCCAATTGTCTATCCTTCTGGTTTACTTTTTCAGTTTAAAAGTCGACGAGACAAGTTCTTTTTTTCTTTTTTTTTTTAATTTAAAATTTAAAAAAGTGAAGAAATGGGTTCGAATTCGGTACATTATTATTTAAAAATTAGAGTACCTTAACAAACTTTATAACTTGTCTGTGATTAGGATTATCAGGCAGACGATTTTCTCCTCTTTCATTGCCATTTACTTTCTTCCCTTTTCTTTTTTAAAAGTAATTACAATATGGATGATTTCAATTTGATCTCATATAATTTTATTATTAAAATATTAAATCATAAAAAAATAAGTAATCATCTCGTAGATTATCATGGAATACTTTATGAATACGTTTGATGCTTCAACTTTTTAAAAAGAAAGATAAAGTAAATAAGAATATGACAACCAATAATTTAAAAAGCGAACAGAACTGGATGATCTAACTATCAATCAAAGCTGCTAACTACTCAATTTGAATTAAAAAATTATTTTTATGATTGAGTCAGATTGGATCAAAAGACAATTTTAAACATAATATTAAAAAGGAGCTTGAAAATTAAAAAAATTTAAAAAATATAAAAATTAGATTCTACTAAAAATCAATTTTATTTTTGAATAGTTCATATGTATAAAACGTTGACAATTATAAATGCATATATAGATACTCTTGAATTTATTCATATATAATTTAACTAAAAATTTATCTATATTTGATAAGTTATAAAATTATAATTTATAATATTATTAATTTATAGTCATATTATATCATTTTATTAACACATTATAGTTTTTTTTTCTTGTATTATATATGTATATATATTTAATATTATTTTTATTTAATTATTATATCACTGATTTGAGTTGGACCATGCAAAATTTTTTTTATTAAAATTTAAAATATAAGTTATAAATTATTTATAATAAATTTGTAAAATTAAAAATTAAATTTATAAATTTTTAAAAGTTGACATTTGAAACTTAAATTGGATTAATTGATCCATAAAATTTTTTTCTTTTTCCCTTTTTTATATTTTAAAAATAATATGAATTAAATGAGTCAATCTCAACTCATCAAGCTTAACTCATGTAATTCATAACTTATATGATTCAAGTTAAAATAACTTGTTTTTATTATGATAATATTTTTAACTCCATTAACTTTTATAATCGGTTATTCGGTTCAATTTATATAACCCAATTCGATCAAATCAACGGAAGATAAGGAAGAGGCCTTAGCGGAACAAAATTCCAAAGACCGTGCAACGTGTTAATGCCTTGGGCTCATTTATAAGCAGTGGAGGCTTAGATGTCATTAAGGATGACAATCATTCATCATTGCAGACGCCAATTACTTTCAAAACTTGAGACACTCAATTACAATTCGTTACGTATTCATACATTTATTCTTTAGTATACTCTATTTTATCACGTATATATAATTTCTTTTGTGCTTGTAAGTAAGTAAGGTTCAACCTGTTTATATGTATTTCCTTAAATATTAATCTAATTTCTTTTGAGTTAGATCGTTGAGTTTCTGACATGTCAAGTAACTTGAACAATACTAATAATTATTTTCGGCAGCCTGATGGTTGAAAAAGTCATTTTGGACCAGCAATTTTTTTTATTTTTTTATTTTTTCTGATTTCTCCAATCATAATATTAGAACCTCCACCTTATTTTTTTTTTAAAAAAAAGAATATCTAGCTGCTTCCATTTAATTGGTGTATCTGATTTCATCATGACATCATCTGTCATTTGACGGTATTTGAATTGTTAGAAAAATCTGGAGAACTAACAGCTTGAAGTTAAAGATGAGGTTGATTAAATAATTAGAACAATGCCACGAGGTCATTCGGTGGGTCAAAATTACCACACCAAGGTTACCAAACTAATGAAAATCTTTGTTTTTCTATTTTTGAAAAAAAAAATTGAATCTTTTTTCCCCACTGCATAATTTATGTATTCATTCCTGTATTTAGGAAGTGATCACTCAATAAAATATAACTGTTTATGAGCTTTAAGTGCATCCTTAATTCCTGACGTTCATTTATTCTTTTTCTCAATATTTCTCCAATATATTATATACATTTAATTTCTATAACTCAGAGGATTCAATTTCTGTTTTTGCATGTATAACATCTCTTTGGATTCCAAATATGGTAATTTGGCTTTTAAACTATTGGTTCATGAGGATTAGAAATCATAAACTTATTTTTTTATAATATTTTTTCTTAACTTTTAAAAACAGTGTAATATAACATTTATTATTAACAAAAGTTAATTTTAATCAATAATTGATTAGAAAATAACAAAAAAAAAAGTCTTTAAAAATTACAAAAAAATGACCAAAAAAATTCTTGATCCTTTCCTGTAACTTTTGGGTTCTTGATTGTACTTTTGAGTGTCATTTTCTATAAACTTTTTTATCATTTCTTTAATTTTTAATTTTTTTAATCAATTAACGGTCAAAACTAACTTTGTTAATGGTAGGAAAGTTGAGGGAGAATATTATAAAAAAAAATAAATTTAGAATTCTAAACATTCCTAAACTTATGATTTTAGTGCCAAAAATTACTATTTTACCCTACCTTTTTTCTCTTTTTATTTTTGGTAAAATTCTTAATATGAAGCGTGAGGCCAGATGTTAGAGCCCAATTAGTTTCTTGGTCTTCTTAAAATCTGTCATTTTACCAATGGGCGTTTGGTAGAGTTGGTAAGGGCTACTACCAGCATTCTTCAGGGTGAGGGTTCGAACTTTGGGGAATGATAAACGCGATAATTAACGCAACCTCAAAGAGGTTTTCCCATCAGTACCTTGCTACCACCGTAAGGTCTCCTTGCGGGAGGTCCGAATTAGTCTGGGGCAGGCAATGAATCCAAGATACCCCAGGATACCGGATGGTTCATATTCATACCGAAAAAAAAATCTATCATTTTTTTAATCCTCTCTTAAACCTAGTTGGATATTTTATCAAAAAAAAAACCCTGGTTGGATATAGATAATGGTATAGAATAAAAAAGGGATAAAATTTAAAAATAATATTATAATTTAAAATATTTGTGTTCCAGAATAAAAGAACAACAAATATACATAATTATGTTCAGTAGTAATAAGAATAAACACGATCTCTTTAATTGCATGATTTATTTAGCAAGTTTGTAGTATTTGTATTTAATGATTTTTATAGTAAAATAATTAAAAATGGGTACAAAAATGATTTAACCGAGGTAGTTGTTGGACACTAAGAAGTAATTAGAATTATATTTAAAGGTCATAATAACCTCAGTTACATTAGTGTACTCGCCACTTGAAATAGATTTGGGAGTTAACGGTTAAAGTTTTACAAAAATAAGAATTTAATTGCCTAATGCACTTAATTTCCCACTTAAAGAAAAGCTGACCAAAATCTTTATATATATATATATATATATATAATCCTTTGAATTTGGCAATGCTTGATACTTATATGCTTCCATAATTAGTATTACTCTTTTATTCTCAAGAAATTGACATGTGGGAGGAGAAATTCTTGCATTACCTGATACACCACATTATCTATATGTTCTCTTCAATAAAAACATGCCATATCAAATGGCTATAACTATAAATTAGCTCTCATTATGATATAAAGGGAAAAGATAAAAAATAAAAGAGGCATTTTATTTCAAAATTAAAGCCATTAAAATAAAAAAAATTATATATTTAGCATTATGTACTTAATATAATTATTTTCAATTATATTAAGACATGTGGATCTTATATAGATTATTTATTCTATAATAATAAATTATTGTTATTAATTTTATTAATATATTAAAATTCACTTGTCATGACTTAATTAAATATAAGTATATTAAATATATAAGGCTAAGTATATCAGTCTTATTCTAAAATAATGACACACATAAATTAATTTTATTTGATTAAACTGATACAATATAACATGCTTTTTATCAGATATAACATGGATGATGTGGTACATTGGATCAATGCAAGCTAATAATTCATCTACTTTGGAGTACATGATGTTCAGAACTTGAATTTGATTGACTGGAATGTATTTTGAGAAAATATGAAATATAATCAAATTAAATCCAATAATTATTCTATCTTTACTTCATAAACTACTTCACACGAGCTTTTTATTCTTTAGTTTTTTTTTTTCATTTTTGAATAAAGCAGATGTGGAGTCAAGCCATATCGAGGATGAAATTTAACTCTTAAAAGCAATATGCTCATTAAGCGCGCGCGCGCGCGCACACATATCATCAGCCAACAAGAGATTTGAAACTCTTCATGGTGCGATAGACACAGCTAGCTATTAGCTAACCAATAAAGATAAGGATTGGCTAACCATTAAGCAATAAAGATTTGGTTTAGCAGAAAGGTAAATCTCTGATCTTAATGTAGCAATCAATGTTCGGAACCTTATTGGGACATATACTTTCAATTGGTATCTGATTCTATCTCAAACATAATTGTCTCCAATATATAAGAGGCCACTTATGTACAGTAAAAAAAAAAGTTAAAAAGCTAAAAATTTGCTTCCCAGAAAAGCACGGTGAAAAGTGACTAGCTCTCTTATTTCGGTGAAATTAGTGTTAGATGAGAGAATGGTTGACCAAAAGCTACTGTTATTGCTACTTATTAGAGTTAAAACCTATATATATATATATATATAATTGCAGTCAACACTAATTCTCTTGTCCAGATTTATTATAAATACAAACTTTTTATGGATCGTCCAAGTTGTAAGTACTCATACTGCCTTGTTTATCTTTCTGCTCTTACATGCTCAGAATCATGAAGCTTTTTAGATGAAACACATCTGATCAACTGCATCAGAACCGTAGAAGCCTTCATCCTCGCACTTTGATTTTCATTCTCTATTCTGCAATATTCTCTGATATCTGCTGATGATGAGTCATAATTAACATTCCCAGAAACTGGTAAACCAATAGCCTCACCATTACTAATCTCTTCCACTACAACTTCTTCGTCGTTCCTTTCTTTTACATCAGTCTGAGTTGATGCATTAATGGCAGCTAACTTATTCCATGGCTCCTTCTTCGTCTTCGTCGTCTTCTTGGTGGTCTCAGGGGAATCTGTATCTGTGCTGATGAAACTGGTAGTTTCAGAGGAATATTTGGAGCTTGATGGTGATATTAAAGTTACTGCTTCGTTGTTGGATCGAAAGCTTGAAGATGAAAATTGAATGAGTTGTGTGCCTTTGAGGATGAACTCGTCATGAGCATTACATGGGTATATGAAATCGTTCTCGCTCAAGTCTTGCCACACATACCCCTTCTTGTAACTCCTGCAACGCATAACACCAATCTTAATTTATAATTTTTTTAGTAAAAGAGAAGGAAAAATATGAAGTAAATTTTTTTTTCAGAAATATTTTATATCCACTATAAAAAAATCAGCATATATTAAATAAGATATCAAGTTTAAGTTTTAAAAATGAAAAATATATTATTTTAGAAGAGTTTTATCCAATTAACCATGACTGGTACTTAATTCTTCGTTCATAAGTATTCTATTTTTAATAATGTTAGCTAATATATTTTGAAAATAAAAAATAATAATCCATAATCATGAAAATAAATATTTAAATTCAAAGAAAAATAATATATAGTAAACAAAAGAGACAATATCCATTAATATCCCATATTTTTTATTCTAAATGAAAATACATATTTTATAATTTGCAATTTTATAATACACAAACATTTCTTGTTTATATGCCTATTATTCTGTTTCTCTAATACTTATCAAATATAAATATACATAAATCATAGTTTAAAAAATTATTGAAATTTTAAAAATAAAATATGAAAAATAAAAGAACGACGAATTCAACTGGTCGACCTGCTAATTACTTGCTGGTTTCTTTGTTTCGTGATTTTTTTTTTTTTTGGTTACAAAGTTTCATGATTTTTCTATTACACTGGACTAGACATATTCTGAATCCAACTAGTTTAAAAGGCCGGTCCAATCCGGTTATCTTAACAAACGTGCCATCTAGACTTTGTTTATTTGGGCTAACAGAATCTAGTCTATCAAGAATTCAAGATTAAGTAAATTATATTTTTTACCATTCAAAATTGCAAAATGATCGCTTCATTTTTATGAAGTACCTAATCTCCTAAGTCCTAACTATTTTTTAAAAAAGAATTAAATAGAAATTTAATCTTTAAATTATAAGTTCAAAAGTATCTAGTACTTTAAACTCTTTTATGTGTGTTATATTTTCCTTCAATTTTTAAAAATAATACAATATATCTCTTACCATTAATAAATATTAACTTTGATTATTAGTTAATACTAAAATAACAAAAATATTTATTTATAATATCTTTTTTTTGTAATTTTGAAGTACTTGTTTGTAATTTTTGACTCATTTTTTTGTAATTTTTTAATCCTTTTTTATAATATTTTTTATCTTTTTTTATTAATTTTTTATTAATTAACAGTTAAAATTAATTTTTATTAATAATAAAAACTATATTGTATCATTTTAAAAAGTTAATAAAAAGTATTGCATGAAGAACTCGTTAGAGTTTCAAATATTTCTATGCCACGTCAAATTACACAATAACCCTTAAAAAAAATTAAAAGCAATAATTATACGGTCACCTTATAGTACAACCATCAGGGAAAAAACTTCAAAGCAGCCAATTATCATAGGGGAAGCTGATCGAAAGATAAAATAAATTATATTGAAGTGACCCCTGTAAGGTAAGCTGTCATAATCATCGCATAAATAATCTGCTAAAACCACGTCAACTATTTAATTATTAAATTTCACGTCAATATAATAACGAATACAAAAAATTATTGAACAATCTCATTGGAGGAGGGAGACTTGTTCAATTTAGAGTAGAGTTGGGCCATTAACCGAAAACTACTTCCCCTGATGATAACATACGATATTGATAATGTTTCACGGTTTTTGTAAAAAAATTATGTAAAACATTAATTTTGGAAAAAAATTATATTTTTATTAAATATTCTATATAAATAACTTAATAATGAAAATTAAAATTTTAATATTTTTAAAAAATAATAAATAAAGTAGGGATATAGTTGGAAAAGCAAATATAAATACTATCTATTTTATATTTTAAATTAAATAAGACTTTTGAAAGACATTATATATGTAGTTAGTAGTAGGGGGTAAGTAACACCAAACAAAATTGAAAATCGAGTTAAACTGAATTTAATTTTTATTATTTAATTTGATCTATTTAATTTTTTGATTTGATTTATTTTTTTAAATATTTCAATTGATTGATTCAATTAGGTTAGTAAGACTTAAAATTAAATAAACCGAACTGACTGAATTGGCATGTGCACGCGCGCACACACATATAATTTATTAATTTATAAATTATATTTAGTTTATTAATTACTTTATCTCATATATATTTTATTAATTTATAAATAATATATGTGTGCAATTAAAATGGATTGTTATCACTTTACAAGCTCGATTTGATATATAAGCCTTGTCTATTTTAGTAGGAAAAAATAACAAATTTCGCCTAAGTCCAAACAGCTCAAAAACTAAATTAATCTCAATTTAGTCCTTACTCTGTTCAATCCAGTGCATATTTTTAGTGTTATTTGGTCAATCAATTTTACATATTTTGATACCAAATCAAACCAATTTGACTGAGGTGAGAATAGGCCATGCAAGGCCCTACTTTGATTAAACAAGCTCTAGCTTGTAACATAGACCTCAAGTCTGAGCCTAAACCTATGCTTATATGTAGGTTTTTTTTAGGCCTAAGCCTAAACTTGTGTTATGCCTAGCTTAAAACTTTTTTAAATATCTATTTCATATGTGAGCCTTTAAAAAGACTTTTAAATTTAGGCCTTAAAGTCTTTAAGTAGGTTTCAAGTTTATCAAAACCTACATTTTTGAAAAAAAAAAAAAGCCTACATGTTGTTGATTTTAAATAGGCTTAAAGGCTTAAAACTTATTTAAATATAATATATTATATAAATATATAAATTTAAACATAATATAATATATAAATGTATAAAATATATAAAAATACTTAAATAGGCTAGAATTGCAAGCTTACAAGCTAAGTTCTAAAAATTCAAGCCTAACCTGTTTAGGTATGTAGACCTCTGCATAAATCTTAGATTTGGCTTTTTTATAAATGGACTAAGTTCCAACTAGATTAGGCTGTAGATTAATAGAAGCCTAACCTATTTTCATCCTCGTAGTTAAGAGGAAATATTAATTTAGATTTAAAGTAGAGCTAAGTAACTCTTAATCCATATGGTCTAGCCCTTGAGAGTTTGTTCCATATGAGCATAGGCTCAAAAATTATGTTATCGTAAATTTAATAGTTTATTGAAACCCGACCCTTAATGGCTCGGATCCTTGCCATGGCACAAAAGCTTGCTTTTATTGTTTTAAGAAATAAATTTTGCATTGTTTCATTACATATTCAAATTTTAAAGTACAAATTAAAATGTTCTAAAGTGTAAAAGCAGCAATACAAATTTAAACTTTAAATAACAAAACATTCTAATGTCTAAATTTAATCTGAAGATATAAATCTTCCTAAGAAAAACAAACACAAGCTTAAATAAATAACCTGAATCCTTTCTTCTTCTTTCTTTTTTTGGGATACAACGCAAATTTTTGAATTCTTTTTAGGTTTATGTGAGTTGAACCAAAAGTTCTTTTATATTAAAAGCTCTATTTTTCAAAGTCTGAGTTCGAGTGAAAACTGACAAACAATCTGTCAGGCCCGATCCACTAACTTAGAGTACAAAAAGAAAAATAAAGATATCACATCCCACACCCTCCTAAAAAAATTAATTATAAATAAAAATTAATATAAAATAGATTGTTGTAAAATGAGAACATAACTTTTGTTTAAATGAGACTTATTATTAATTTTTATCTGTGATTAATTTTCTTAGAAGGGGGCTGAATATAATTCTCCCAAGAAAAATTAACCTAGAAAACAAATTAATCAAATGACTTGAGGTTCAATTTTGTAAAAACAGAGAAGCATACTTTTTTTTTTTGGTTGCATTTTATCTTTCTCTCTATTTCAACCAAAATTATTGCAAGATATCACAACAATAATCAATACTAAATGTTGTTAATATACAATATAAAACATTAAAACCTATAACAAATTTGATAAATCAGAGGTCCTTATCATGCATCCTACGTACCTTTTTGCAGACCAAGAATAGGAATGAGCCATTCCTTGTCCGCGGAGAAAACTCAATCTATTAATCACATCTGATCACAAATTCAAACAACGATTATAAACATAGATCATAATTAATTAATTAGTTTAAGTATGTTAGATCAGAGTGAGTCGTCCTCGTCTACCTTTGAGACACAGCAATCCCTGAGAGGAAGACACAGGAACCTCCATGAGATGTGGATGCTCAAGCTGGCCATTCCTAGCAAGGTAGTATATCACATTCACTGCTTTCACCTCTTTCCTCTCTTTTGCTGCTTCTTCCTCACCCCAAATTCTTCCCTTAACACCACTTTCTTCTCTTTCTAAGATTTTCCTCGCCATGAAAACTTCCCACTCACCACACCCGCCTTTTGGATCAATTGACAAAAAGACTGATCAAGTTTAACAAGAAATCTCGAGTTCAAACCTTGACCGCCAAAGGGGAAAAAAAATTCTCACTCACACTTCTTCTAGCAGAAGAGTATCCTCCATCGGCAGCAAGGATAATCCGTTAGATTTTCTCGACTAACTTTGCTCCATGTACAAGAAAATCAAACCGCAATCTCTTACCACTCGTGCTGACTTGAGTTTGTTCTTCTTCGTATCTGCAACCAAGGGACCCAAAATTCGGAAGGCACCATAAGAATGAATGAATATATAGAGTGGTGAACTGGGGATATGAATGAACCAGTTTCGTTTGTTTGTTTTTCAGCCAGTGACTGACTATGAGGCAGTTTTGAGCCGTGCAAAATAAGGGAAACAAGTTGAAATAGGAGGCAAATAATGTGTACGTTGATGGCAGAATCTGGAAGATTTTGAGATATGGAGGATAAAATAATGGGATAGTGGTGCAAGGAGCTTACCAGGTCGAACATGTGTGTGCGTGCGTGTGCGTATGAAAAAATCTGAGTGATCAGAGATTCACGAGTTGGCTTTTATGCTCCTTGCAAACTGTGGTGGGGTCCAACTGCTAAGTGCTAGCATCATCGTTCTCGATTGCATAGAACTCTGTCGCTACCAGAAAGTTCACGGACCTATATCACTCACGACAAAATTATATATGATGCATGTTGACGAATGCGTCAATCATGCTGCGAGCCTACTTGTGCTTGTGGAGCTGCCACTGATTAAATATTGTCAGAGAATTTGCATTACAGGCTTCATGAAGAAACTTGCGTTATTGTAAGGTTATTGTTGTTGCTTGCAATTCTGTCCAAGCAGTGAATATTATCCATTACAAGGCATCTGATACAAATCTTGACACAAAAATAAGTCAGCCTGTATTTGGATACATCTTTTCTCATTTAAAAAGTGCTTTTAGCATGCCATTTGAATGCAAATGTCGTTTGGATACTTATTGTACTAATATGGAAGTTCATTTGACAAACCCGGCTTTGAATAGCTTTCAACTTTTTAAACATGAATTGAAGTTTAACAGACTAAAAACCAACCACACTTGAACACCTCTTGGTCTAAGGCTGGCAACCTTATTTGTGATCTCCCAATGCTTAAAACTAGTTTTTCCAAAAGCTTAAAAAAAGACAAAACACAACAACTTGCTTTTCCATATTCTAATGTCCAGGTGAAGTCAAAGGCAGTCCCGTGAATCCATCGAAGTGAAAGCTTGGGGACAAATGGATAAGGTCTCTCGGCAGCCAAGCTGAAAGTGCGGAAACTAACGAGGAAAATCACAACTATAGGCTCAAAACACAAACGTCTAAATTTCTTATCTGCTATTCTCTTGCACATATATTTTTCCCACCAAAATTTGCTCAAATCATTGAATGAAAGTGGTAAAGACAAGCTAACAGCCACATTTTCAAATACATATATTACTTTGCTGCATGGCTTTCACACAGTTTAACTTCAGAAGATACAATGAAATCTCGAAGCCCTATATTTTCTAGCCTGAATTTGAATCAACATTCTCTTTCTTTGGGCATGCAGAAGAAATATGACCCTTTTCACCACACTCATAGCACGTCCTCCTCTTCATTTTGCCACTTCCAGTGGAACCTGACTTCTCAGTATCAACTTGGGTGCTCGCAGGCGAATCGGTTGTTTGTTTCCATGGCTTCTTCAAAGGAACTGCACAAGTTATCCTAACAGGTCTCCCACACATCACTTTTTGGTCCAGGGCAAGTGCTGTTTTCACCGACTGACTATCCGTGAAATCCACATGGGCATACCCTCGGAATTCTCCTGTCTCCTTGTCCATACCAAAACGTATGGATGATACACTGCAGTTTGAGAATAGAGTCCTTAATTGATCCTCGGTTATGTCCCATGACAAATTTCCAACATAGATTCTGTTGTAGCCCTCCACAGGTTTTGGGGTGAAATCGGACGCTTTAACAGTTCGAGTTGTTTTATATGGTTGGATTTTAAGAAAGAGTCCTCCCCTGAAATGAGTTAAATATTTGATGAGCACGACACAAGAAATGGACGGCAATAATAAAGAATCTCTTGAAAGGAGAAGATCACCAGTGTTACTAACATGTCAGATCCATCAAGAGCCAAGGCTCGTTTTGCAGCAGCTTCAGTCTGTTGAAGAAGTAACAAGAAAGGGTCACCAAATTATGAAGAGGCTCCATAAAGGCATCAACAACAAATAAATCCTCGATAACTTTCAGAACGTCTCATTTTCTAAGTCATGATGACCTTTCTATAACCAAAAAAATGGGAGAATTACAACCAAGTCCTACACAAGAAAATTAATTATTACAAGGTCCATTGACAACTGAATTAAATGACATTCAGTTGTTAATGGCATTTAGTTCAGTTGTCAATAAATTTTATAGTAATTAATTTTTTTTTGTGGGGCTTCAATATAATTCTCCCCAAAAAAATACAATGATAAGTTACATATTAATACATAACAACAAAAGAAAATAAAAACTATCTGACATTTAATCTGTAGAGAATTTGCTCAGTCACCAATGTGAGTCACCATAACTGGTAGTGTATTTGTTATTACTGATTTGCGACACTCAAATTGAAATGGAGATGTCAAGCCATTCAGACTCCTCCTTGAGGGTTCTATATCCACAATCATAATGCCCAGTGCATGGATGTTATTTTTTTCCCCTTAATTGATAAGCTACTTATCGCAATAAGTAGAACAGTCCTTGTGCACTACACGGCGATATTCAAACTTTTTGAATGAAAAGCACATGAATCTAGATGCGCATGGCAGGGAAGAATCAAAATTGTAAAAAAAAAAAAAAAGGAAATATAAATTAATAATAAAATAACGGTAACATTTCTTACACTATCATACGTACTTATTGATATTGATTTTTTGATCAGTCAATCGATTCTTTTGGTATACCAGCTAATATTAATATAGATGTCTGTATAATTGTATCACTGTTTAACCATAGAAGGTCATAAATTAATGACATTTGACAAAACTCATTACCAGAGGCACACCAAACATCATGAAAAGGAAAAGGAGACACCAATGAGGACCTCAGGTCCAGTTTCCTATGGGCATTAATCATGATGCAGCTGTGGATATCTAACCCAACAATTACAAGTTTAAGGGGTTCCAGATTAGAACTAAAGAAAGAGTAATTGGAAAATATGTGACAGTGAAGTAAGGAAAATGGATGGAAAGACAATAGCAAGAACTGTAGCTCTTTCCTGTGAGTTTTCTTGAGAGAAGTAAAATATGATCTTCCATTTTAAGGATACAAGTTCAAGTTTCTTAAATGAGCCAGTGAATCAGGATAAGATGGAATACTTAGTAATTAGTATTTCAGAAATCGACCCCTTGACTTTAGTATAGACTCCCCTGTGATCTTGATCAAACTGGACTGTAACTTTTTTCTCATTTTAAATGAAAGTTCATCAGAAAAATAAGAACAGCTTACACTAATGAAGAAATTCTCATTCCCTCTAGCAATGACCAAAAAAAAAAAAAAAAATTCTCCACAAGAAACTGGCTCAAAAAATTCTTGCTACTTCTGGTCAAGTAATTTCACTACTGCATTAACCTCTATGTATGTGTCATGAGCCCAAAAGGCCAAAACTATATGGCAAAACAGAAATACCTCTGGATAGTAGTTGAAGAATGGTCAGTCTCCACCAAAGTAATCCTGAATTGACAGAATAACAGAGAGCTCTCTTCAGCACATTCAAGCCACACACCCCCCCCCAAAAAAAAAAAAAAAGAAGAAGACAGCTCAATTTTTTTTATTTGAACAGCCTCCTCTCCCCTAGCACCTTTTATCCTTTCTTTTCTCTCTCAAGCCAGGCCTTATCTCTACGCAGCCATTAATTGTCTATTACCTACGTCCCTTGACTCATTATAAGGGTTCCTCTCCCTCACTCATCCCCTATCTTGGCTATAGTTAAAAGAGTTTCTAGGCAAACAAACCCTCTTTTATACACTTACCGAATTAGGGTCCAATCAGTATGCATATAAAATATTCATATCAGAAGGAATGGACAGATTATGAAGCATAAGGAATGTTTTATTCAAGCATGTTCTGACCATTCGAGACCAATACAATTCTCATTCTCTGAAGCCTAACCAAATTGTGTGTTGCTATTTTTATGTTAGTATTTAAACTTAACAAGGTCAGAGTTAAAATCGTATCCTACCAAAGCCATAAAATCACTCGTTGTGGCTGCTTTTCAGGAGTAAAAGGAGGAGAGGGAGAGAAAAGAAAGAGGGAACAAAAAATGATATTGTTTTACTTCTTACCTTAAAACTGATCAGGGCAATCCCTCTAAACTTGCCAGTCTCAGGAAACGTCATGCAATCAATTTCAGTTATTGTGCCACAGCCTTCAAAATAGCTTCGAATATCGTCCTCGGTTGAATAGTAGGGAATTCCTCCAACATATACTTTTGTGGGAACATTGTCATTTTGTTCACTGGTATATAATAGGAAAGACAAACTCTTAAAATATACTAACAAAAATCAAATTATCATATCAAACAACGATAAATTAATACATAAAACTTCTAATCATCAAGTTAGTTTAGCTGATATCCTTCCCTTGACATCCTATAACCTTTTTCAATAGCCAATGTCTATATCCAGCTACGAATATGGGTATTATATTATTTGAGACAAACTTAGAAGGGAAAAAAGAAAAACCAAAATAATTCACAGTTAAAAACAAGTATCACAGCGAAAGTGTATCAAAAATGCTAACATGCTCATCAGTCTAACAGCTCGAAACTCGGCATGATTCTATATTACCTGCCATTACTCTTAGTTAACTTTGAAGCCTCCAACTTCTCACCTCCATCTCCAGGATTAGCATCCTTGTCCTTGTCCGTCTTGGCCTTCTTCTTCCTTTTCTTCTTCTTCTTATCATGTTTTTTCTTCGTTTTCTTCCCATCCTTCACAACCCCATTTGCCACATCGTTGTCCTCAGCCTTCCTCTTTCTCTTTTTGCTCTTCTTCTTTGTTCCGTCGACTTCTTTACTCTCATCAACGCCACGACCATCAACATCATCGCCTTGGGTAGTCTCGGGTTGTTGCAAAGAGCGAACCTTTCTGCGCTTCTCTCTCTTTGATAATCGGAATTTCAGGGTTGCAGAGTCAAGAAGATTTTTGCAAGAGCAATCCGGATTGTCGGTCTGAGATGGAGCTAACTCTGCTCTAAGCTTCTGTTTAAGCTTCTTCTTGGAGAGAACCATCCCTGAAGTTGCCACTCACGCAACAGAGCTCATGGAAACAGCTTCGGCCAAGTAGGGATTAGGGAAGAAGAACGATGCGTTCTGTTCGGGTCAGGGGATTCTAGGTTACGACTTAAGTTTTTTTAAAAAAAAACAAAAACAAAACAAAAAAGTTTGTGTGCATTATATACAATTTAGGGTTAAATGGTGTGTGAAACTTTTTTTTTTTCTTTTCAAGCCTGGCATTTTAATTTTTTTAAAGCATTTTTGTCTGAATTTTTTAAAAAGAGAGCATTTTTGTCTTACTATTAAATATAAAAAATATTTATCATTAAATTGAAATTTAATCAATGATTAAATGATATATTTGTCCTGAAACTTTTTTTCCAGGAGCTCTGGGTATCTTGAATTTTTGTTTGGAGCTTATTTGCCTTAAAAGTTTTAAAAGTAAAGCAATTTTTCCCTGTCGTCAATATTGACCATTACTTTAACTTTAATTGCCATTTGTAGCCATGCGGCATTTTCAACAAAATTTTAAACAATCCACCTAGATAGCAAAAATACCTCTATTAACATCAATAACAATAGCAACGACAGCTCCATGAACAACAAGCAAGAACAACAGCAAGCAGTTCCAAATCATTAGAACTCAGTGGCGGAACCAGGACCCTAATTCAGGGGGTGCGGACTAATTTAATAAAAAATTATTATTTTTTTAAAAATAGTAATAATTATACTAGGATTAAAATTATAATAACATAAATAAATTTATCATCATTTTTTATTTTAAAAAATTATATTTAATAAGTTGATATGGTCTTTTATTATAAATATATTCTTCATATTTTATTTAAATCATTAAAATATTATATATCTAATAAGTTTTTAAATCCAACTATTTTTTATTTAGTTTAAAGGGGAAAAATATTAAAATAGGAGGTGCAAAGTTGTAAATTTAACATGCCCCACTTGTAATTTTCTTTAAATTGATGCACCCCCTCACCCCAATGTGGCTCCGCTACTGTTCAAACTCATATCTATACTTGAAAACAATTAATTGTTCATTGAGTCAATCCACATGAACTTGACCATATGGAAGCTCTCTTCTTCTATATTCGATAATTTCACTATCTCACTTAACTATGACGATTTCATGGACTTCAACCTTGACTTCTCAAAGATTTAAGGTAGTTGGAAAAATTCTATCTTAAGCTTTTGTATGTTAATTAGTTTATTGATTAATAATTGACCATTGGAATGTGTAAAATGAAACGAAATGCAAGTGTGGCATGAGTTGCTTGAGAATCTACTAGGTTGATTTTGTGAGTCCTTTGACTTGTTATGTGAAATTCTTTGAAAACAATATTAGTGGATTTTTTTATTGTGATTTATTAGGAGTTCAATGATTTTGTGGTTAGCGAAGTACATTGAATCCTTGTTAATGAAGTTCTATGAGTATATGTGTTCATGAGGAGTTCAATGATGTGTAAAATAGTAGAGGTACAATGATTGTAAAAATAGAGTTTAATGACTTGGTTTAGTCGGAGTTTAATGATGTGAATAATGATAGGGTACAATGACTATGTACTTGAGAAGTTCAATGACATATGTGTTGTGGAGTTCCATGATGTGTGTTAAATGTGAATTATTGCATGAATATACATTACATGATCATGAGAGGTAGGAGTTCACTTAAGAAGAAGAGTAGAGAATTAAATCCACGTGGTAAAGCTCCATTCGAGTTGATGGCTTGCCCGAATTGATTATATTCATATTATCCTACTTGTTTAACGAGGGACTGTCCTATTAGTTCAACGCGAGACTCAAACCTAACTAACTATCTACTGGTTTAATGAGGAAGCTAGTTTAAGAAGTATGACATCCTATAGTGTGAGAAATTTAGGAAAACTATGTTTCACAAGTGAGTTGGGTGAGCCTTGATTGGGTAATTCCCTCACAATTATTTAGGCTAAGAAAATCTTGAATTATAGACTATCCCATTGTGCTATAGCCTATAGTTTCATGTTAGGGGAATAAGGAGGATATAAGAGAGGTGTAATCATGAATTTAGTAAGAAAAGGCACATGGTTGCTACTTTGTGATTTGTTTGGAATAAACCAATGAAAGCCTTATATTTTGAGAAAGGCCATTGATTCAAATTGCATACTTTGAGCATGTATTATTTGTGATTGAGAAATGTGGATTGACACTATGAAAATAGCTATATGATCTAGTATTGATCATTATCGTATGTGAATGTTCTATTAGAAAAGAAAAGAATAAACTGTATTTATGAATATGTTCATATTTGATCTAGTTTATTCAATTACCACTTGCATTTAAAATTAATTGACATGCATTAGTATAAGTTAGTTAAATCTTGCTTATTAAGTGGTTGTACTTAGCCCACTATCTTTAATATTATAGGGAATAGCTTAAAAAGATCGGATAGAGGAAAGCAACCAGAGGCTTAGAATTGCAATCCTATTTAGTAGGCCTCTTTATTTTTGAGTCATTATGTGTATGTGACAATTGAAATTGCCAACTAAGAATAGTTCATTTTGATCCTTACTTGCATTATGTGTTTTGTGAATTGTAAGTGTATTTTAGGCTCCAGGGAGTGAGTTTATGAAATGTGATATTTGTGATAGGGCCAAAATACTAATGCAAATAAAAAGTGGGCATATTATGTGTTGATTGTGAATTATTTGATAAAAAAGGTACTTAAACTTTCCCTTGTATGTTTTTAAGATTAAGGGGTTGAGTAGTAAAATTGTGAATTATAAGTGTTTGATATGGTATGGTGCATTGAACGAGTTAGTTTTGGTATATTGCATGTGGTTCAAGTGGTGTCAATGGCTTTTGGCTTTTGATAAATGATTTGGACACTTAGATTTGTAGAAATTGTTGAAAAAGTACGAGTTTTGAAAAGAGTATTCAAATTTTAAATGTGTAATAATTTGATTATGAAATTAAAATAATTAATTAGAGCTTGAAAAGTGTTTTCTGCAAACACCTAATTCGCGTAAATCAGATGTTCGACGAAGGAATGAAGTGCATTAAAAGTTGTCCCAAAAGCTGTTAAATTAACGATAGAATTTGCTATCACAGATCGTGCAATGCGCCACGGCGCATGGTGTCACGAGCTGCGATGTATGGCACAAAGGAAAACACACCACAGTGCATGTTCAATGAGCAATGACACACACTCTAATTTTTACAGAATTGTTTTGTTTTCTGTTTTCTTAACAAATGCACTATTTCTTAAAATGATCCCATACTTCCGCATAATTTATAAATTCTAATTTGTTTTCTTTCAAAGGTCATTAGGAATGGCTTTAGTTTTGAAAACTTGGGATCTCAAATTTTCCATCTATTTCTAGCTTGGTGTTATATTCATTATCTTAATTAATTGAGATTTGAAGTTAATCAGAGTTAGATGAAGGAGGAAATTACAAGACAGGTCAATGATCATTGACCTGGGCAACATGTTCAGAGAACCAAGCCAATTGCTCGTGATCAAAGTAATGTTATTTGGCTTGCACTAAACAAGTATAAGCTTCTTCTATGACATCGATGAAGCTAATGGACCTTGAACTTGTACATTTGAAAGTGTTTGGAGAAGTACGCATCAAGATTTTTGTCAGAGGATTTATCTATGAGGTTGTTATTGTTGTTAACCGCAAGTGTACGGGTCGTAACAAGTAATATAAAATGAGTAAAGTATCGTTCCCTCGAGGATTTGTTTAAAAACTATAATCAAACAAAAGACTAAGCAAATTTTATCAAGTTGAGCCACACAAAGTTAGGTGAAAATGATTTTTTGCTTATGAAGCTAGCATTAGAAAATAAAGAAAAGTGAGTGATTTATGTAACACCCTCAAATTTACAGACCGATTTTTTCACAAGTTATTAATTCAACAAATCTTTTTTTTTATTTTTTTTTCATTGAACCCTTATCATGGTAGAAAAATTTCTACCACGATACATCCAAGACAATATACCACAGGTCTTAAAATATCTAAAAAAAATAATTAGAACCATGAGGGACAGACATGATCCTCATAGCATGTTATTCAAATCAGATCATAAATCAAGAGGGACAGACATAATCCTCTTGGTCATATAAATACTTTTAATAAAAAGGATTAGAGTTTACATGCTTCACAAAGAAGATATGTCCTAAGTTGGCACAAGATACATTGTATAATCTAAAATAAGAGGCAACGTAAAAGATGGTGTCTCATACACCACAGTTACACCTCTGGTGCTTTCTCGGCCGGACTCGCTCCTGTAAAAATATTAACCACGGGGAATGAGACTTAAAAGTCCCAGTAACCAAAAATTAATATGTAATGATGCATGCGGATGTAACTAATCATGCAATTGCTAAGTGGGCACACAAAACATTTAACCGAACAATACTTTCAAACAAACCGAACAAGTATTTAATTTGCATGACTGCACCTTATATCCTCCTTTCGCCATGCTCGGACGCCAAATCACCCGGCCAAAGGTGAGTTGGACCAAGCGACACGCCACTCATTGGGTCCAATGAGGGCTTACCACGTGGTAATAATTAACCGAACAGAAATTCCCATTAACACCATACATTAAAATACCCTGACAAGTCATGCATCATTCAAATATCCAAACAGGAATATATCCGAACAATAATATCTCATCATGATAAATAAAAAATAAATTTTTAACCCACTTGGCAATAATTTCAAACAAGTATATACAGTATTTATTTTCAATAATTCATAATTTTTTCAAACAACAAAACAACACATAACCATTCACAAACACACTCATCACAACACATTAATAATGGTTACCTTGTGTCTTGAATAACAAGTTCCCCTTCACAACTCCTTTTTCACCACTATCTTTGTCAATATAATCTACATAATTATTTCACAATACTATATATTAATTTTACATTAAAATAAATAACTCTAATTTAAAGAGTTAGAAAGTCTTAAATCTATAGTCCATATTAACACTAATTTAAGATTTATGCCTCATTTAACTTCCCAAATTCTTTTCTAAAATTCTCGTACCCTAATGAACTATTTTTTTTATCCTCAATTCACTTCTAGTATCACAATTTCATCCTT